TTTTTGACAGCCAATTGACAACTGTGTCTTAGCCTTCACTTCCTGCTAGTATGGCTTCAAGGTCAGCCCAGTATGAGAGCTTAGGTAGGACCTTCTCAGGTCTTTCCTGAGTACAGTCTTGAGCATGCTTATGACCTTCTAGATTCCCAGGAATGGGTTAGAACTTTTCAAAGCCTCCACATACATCTCATTCCCCAGCTTTTCCTTTTATGTTTTTTTGTTAGCCCATTATTCTACCCAAGTGATATTCATCTCCTCAGGCAGCTAAAACAAGTGCCTCTGAATGTTTTCAACAAACACTCCTGTGGAAAGGTTTTTCCACACTTGATGAACTCTGAGCTCCAAGTCCTGGTGAACTTGAGTTCCGAGTCAAGTCAAATAAAGACAGCCTTGCAAGATAGGTCTTCCAGGGAACCACTAGATAGGTCAAATAATGACAGTTCTCTGTGAATGAGGCTTTGGAAGGGCTCCAGCCCTCTCACATCCCTTCCAGTGACTGCCAGACTATTGATTTTCACCATTATTGTGACCTGTTGGTTTTTAAGGCTATCATGGAGCTGGAGGAGAAATGGGAATAGGGCAAGTTAAAATGCCACAAATCTTGTTGTTTTGTTTTTACAAACACTCAACTATTTTTCTTAAATAAACCTTCTCCAAATTGCTGCTAGCACTTTGTTAATTCTGAGTTGTAAAAAAGTTGATTCTGACCATTTTTGCCATTTTTCTCATTGTTTTTATGAAAGAGAGAATTTTTGGAGGTCTTTGCTCCACCATTTTTGCTGGTGTCCCTCCTAGCCAGTTTAATTATCTTTGTCCTTAGCTATTCTTTCTGGTAATCTCCATTTTAGAGGGGAAGCCAAGACAATTACATTAGAGCATATCAAGACAATGGTGGATCCTGGCTCACAGACTAATGAAAGGGAGAGGAAAACACCTTTATGAGACATTGCTATGAGAGATTTGTGAGCTTTTTCACTTGCCATTAGTTCCCAAGTCTAACATACACTAAAAGTCTTTGATCCCCATTTGCTTTACTCTGGCCCCCAGTATACCTGAATCTCTTCTCCAGTTTATGGATTATCTCACAGGCTCATTTTTATGCTTTCCAGAAACCCCTTCACCAGCTTCAACTCACAGCCTATCTTATAGGTGAGTAACACTCTTTCCTTTCTCTTGGGATCTGTTCACACTGATACTCTGCCAGCAGCCCTGGGGTTACTTCTCCACTGGCCTGTACCACTGAAGTTTGTATCTGCCTTGTAAACAAAAGAGAAGGTTGAATAGCACTGTGTTTAATATACATCCAAATTATTTAATTTTATTCTCACTTGCAAGCAGGGGATTTTTTTCCTCTCTGGCCTAAATGTATAGACCCTTCCTTTACGTATGCTTTTTATCTTTTCCTTTCCTCTGCTTATGCTTTTATTTCCCTCCTTAGACCTTCATCTGCCTCATCTGGACAGGGGATTTTTTCTTTCAGACCATCCCTAAATGGGGATTCAGGCCACACAAGAGTCCTCACCCCCAACAATTCTGGTAAGTTAAATAACTTTCCCAAAGGAGTGTAGCTTCAACCATTGCATTGATACATATACTAAAATGAAGATTTTTAAAGTGACAAGAAGTTGGTATTTGCTCCCCAAAGAGAACTGTCTCTAGTTTGCCTCCTCAGTATTAAGTCATCCCATTTCCTTCACAGTGAAAGGAAACTCTGGATTTTACCTGAATAACACTCATCCTGTTGCACCAGTTGGTCCTACCATTTAGCCAGAAGTTCAACCTGTAGGATTAAACTAGCTTTTTTTTTTTTTTTTTTTGAGATCCCTGTGTAGAACATGCTGGGAGCTCAGTTCTGAAGATTATAAAAACAATATCCTTCCTGCTCCCCATGTTTTTTTAGTAAAGGTACCTTTGCTACCCATCCTCTTGATAAGGGGTTGCCATCTTCCATAGCTCACTCAGTCTTTATACTTCCTCTATATCTTTCCACTCATAGTTAGACTCAAATCTCAGCCCTATCAGCACTCCATCCTCACGGGAAAAGAATGAACTTTATAACCCTCCTCTTAAACTGCTTAGCTAATAGTCTTTTCCCTTCTTAGTAGTGTTCCTTTTGTTAAAAACTACCTAGTTATACTGCCCCACAAGTAACACTGCTGAGAAACTGCTCAAGCAAGTCATCTTTCACCATCCTATTCTATCTTTCAGGTCAGTGGGAGAGCAGAACCAGTCTAGAGAGTCTTCCTGGTTTCCAGCTACCAGTCCTCCAGGTGAGGCCTGGCTAGTCTAACTCGTCTGTGCATAAAACCCACATGGTTAGGCCTACATGCTAAATGTGCCATTCTGGTCTCATGTTAGGGTGGTAGAATGTAACCAGTGGAGAATGACATGGGTTTCAACTGTGGTAATCATATGTTCACAATTTTCCAGGATGGTCTCAATTTCAAAGATTCTATCCTACTGTCAGATTAGCTTCCTGGTTTGGGGTTTTAAAATTAAGGTACATGGTAGTCAAAGGCTTTAAACTGAGAGGTCTTGGCCAGGGTGAAGTAAGTGTGGACACATTGATATTCCCAGTAGTCCCACAAAAAAAGTATTTTCAATGGAATTTATCTTTTGGGTGGAAGCACTGCTTGAACTAGGAAAAACCATGTTTACTTCTTCAGAGATAGCTAGAATAATGTTCTGTAAATTTATGGAACTGATACTGATCCAAGGAACAAGAGGAAAGGGCATGGTAATGAGGATAGGTTCGTAAGGAGCTCTATTAAATGAAAAGTCCGGTTTTGCCTTTTAAGTTAACACTTTTATGGCTTGGGTTTTGAGGATATTTAGGCCTTTTTTCTACTCTAAGCTCCTGGCAACCCCAAGGACATACTAAAGTGGGTATATATGTTGCTCCCATATTTCAAAATGCCCTTTATTTTTATCAGCAAGAAAATAGCATCTAAGCCTTAAGAGACAACACTAGGGAAATAATATCCCCTCTTAAGATCCTCACAAATGGAAAGATTAACTCACATGTGAAAAAAGACTTAAGAGACTTATAAACGATCTGCAAATATATGGCCCCTAATTGGATCTTGATTGAAAAAAGCTTTAAAAAAAAAAAAAGAGAGACAGTTGAGGAAAATTGAATATCTATTGAACATTGATATTAAGGAATTGTTAATACTGTTTTTTTTTTAGGTATAATATTGTGGTTATGTTTTTAAAAATATACTTTATCATTTATAGATACATACTAAAATATTTATGGGTGGGAAGTTAAATGATGTCTAGGTTTTGTCTTAGTATTAATTAGTAGAGAGGGACAGTGGGAGAGTAGAAATAAAAGATTGGCCATGAGTTATTTGTTGAAGTTGAGTGATGGATACATAAGTTCATTATAATATTCTTTGTATTTTTTGAAAATTTCTATTAAAAATGTTTTCAGAAATAGTTATTGAAGAAATTGCCACCTACCCAGAGGCATAAGAATTCTGCCTCCCTGATAACTCTCTCTGGGCATGGTTGTCATGTGTTCTAGACCTTCCAAAATAGTTTGATTTTCAAATATCCAACCTTATTATCACTATAAATCACTGAAATGTTCCAGAGTAGCAGCAAAGCCTTTGTCACACTAGATGTATCAAATTTTAGTTTAGAAAAATTACTTATGCAATGGAGAAAACTATGGGGAAGCAATAGTGGTGGTTTCTGTCCTGATAAACATATAATGGCTCGAGAGGGCTTTACTTGCCCTTTTGGAATAAACACCCATATCTACCTCCTGTTCTCTGCTGCAGACGCTCTACCAACAGAGGCAGACGGGATTAGCCAGGGGGAGAGACACCTGGACCACTCCCAGATAGACCCATCTTCAAGGTCTGATTTATACATATTGCTGAAGGATGGACTGTAGCATCCAGTACCCACTAGGGCCACTTCTGCTTTTTTTCCTGGTTTCACTGTCCTTTATTCTGTCTGTCTTTACCCTATACACCCTTTATTACCTCCCAGGAAAGTGGTGAGGTCTTATATAAGGCTAGTGCTTCTGGAAGATATTTATCTCTCTCCTAGAAGTCATATGTAGTTCCCCTCATTTCCTACAACTTAAAACAAAAGTTGTATAAATAATTCTTGGCATCATAATTGGAGGTAGGGAAGAGGGAGATAATATACTCGTCGGCTATGTTTCATTTGTGGATTTCATTTTTTAGCTTTGGATATATTGTCCCACTGCCAGTGTCAACAAGCACTTGTTCCTTGTCCTAATTTATTACACTTTTTCAACTTGCCTATTGTTTACTTTATGCCTAGTTACTATTAAATATGTTGATTTTCCTTTCTGTCAAAATAACCGTTGGAGAACATAGATTTTGAGCTTAGTAAAGTACATAGATTAATAAAGAGAACTGCCCTTTTATTGCTATTGGAACTCTACTGCTATAACAAGATATAGAATGTTGGAATGGGCAAAGAACACTACCACTGAGATCACTCAAACGTTTATTCTACTTTGGCTACTAAGTGGTAGAAATAAGGAATTAAATGGGTGGGCCACTCGCAGGCAGGCCTTTAAGCAAAAATAGTGGAAGAATATAAACGTAGCAGACATCTGCCAGAATTAAATTAGGTCCTGAGAATGATCTTATATCTGAACTAGAATCCCACTACCCTTTCTAGTACTATGAGTTTATTTTATGTGTTTATTTTTAAAGGCATTTCTAGACACCTTTTCTTTTGGGCAGGAGCCTGTGCTGTAGCAAGTGGAGTTACCACAGATATTGTTTTATCTGTCACTGATGAAGCCTAAGAAATTTTAATCATTATCATTATGGCTGGGAAACAATCTGCCTGGTGATAGATGCTGACCTACTGCCTTATAAAGTTTTTGTTCTTCTTAAATTTACTTCAATAAGTCCTGCCCCTTCAACAAATAATAAAAAGTATACTTAATCAGAATGTTAATGGATTTGGCTCTATTAATCCCTAAACCATAGAAGTGGCAAAGTGGAGAAGAGAGAAATGATTTTATTTTTGGCCTTTTTATTATTATTCTAGCAATTTGGGACTTCCACTCTTTTAGATGGTTAACCCATTGATATCTATTTGCTGTATATTTGATCCCAACTGATGAAAACCATTCTAAAACATCAATATTTAATTCAATTAAAGACCAAGACAGATCGTATAGAGAGGGAAAAGTCTCTTTTCTGAACACAAATTGAACCAACACCAAAAAGATAGAAAATCAGTCTCTGTCAGGCTGGACAGGAGGTAGTATCAGGTTTGTAAAACCAAACCTGGCACCTGCCTCCACTGTGCTTTGATCAGAAGAAACCATTTCCTCTCCTCCATCTCTCTGTAACATAATCCTATTTTAATGTCTCCCCTAAATCCCACCTCCAATAAATATCCAGTCTAAATTGTTCTCCACCCAATTATTAAACTTTTTCTCTAGCTCTGTGGGGAAAATTTACCCTGAGACAGATAGTGAACAGAGTGGGGATTTTGGAAAGAGATAAAATGGTACACAGCAAAGTGGTCCCAGTATCAGAAATGAAAACATTCTGCTACCTGTCATTCAATAATGATGCAGGTGAAACACATAAAATCAACCTGGTACGAGGAAGTATTTGTGACAAAACTGGGACATACAGAGTCTTAGCTGCATTATACTCAGACTCATGCTCAGAGAGAAAAGAAGGGGTGCAAGGCTGCCTTATATTCCAGGGAAAACGGTGGGATTGGGGATGCACTGGAATCATCAGTTGAATCAGAATTCTTTACTACTCCTTCCCAGTCTTCCTATAGATGTGGTGCCAACATCTGGCACCTCTATAGTACACTAAGGGAAAAGAACAGTAGACATGAGGAGAGCAAGAGCTGTTTCTCAGCCCTTAGTTTGCCCAGATCCTTAGCACTCTCTACATTGAAGTGAGGGACCTGGATTTCTGTCAGTCTGATCCCAACCTTCATGTCCTATGGTCATCTTCCCTGGTCCACCCTCACTACATCCCCTCGTCACCCACCCTGAAGAATACAAAGCTTTTTAGTTCTTTGTCACAAGGTAATTTTAAAAATGGGTTTTTTTGTTTAAAGTTACTAAGTTGGTTTATCTTTTAGAAACAGACCTCCCCTACCATAGCCCCCCACTCAGTCCTGTATGATCACATCATCATCATCATCATCATCTTCCTCCTCCTCCTCTTCTTCCTCATCTTCTGGCAGTTCTTCCTCCTCCTCTTCCTCTTCTTCATCTAGACAAACTACTACTTCAGCTGGCTCAGGTAATCGAGAGTCAAACCAGTGCAGTACCTGCTGGGTGCTAAGCCTTGAAGCCTTACTCAGTTGAGGGATATCAGTTTCCCGTAGCTGTTGGTGGGTTGCCCAGTACCTCTCCAAGGGTTGTATATCTGGTGGGGGTGGGGGGTTTGGCAGAGATTGTATCTCAGCCCATTCATTCAAGGAGCGGGTTGATGGTGGTGGTGGTGTGGGAATTGCTGGGTCCTGGAAACTAGGGGCACCAGGTACTGCATTGTCCCGAAACCATTTTAGTTGCCCGTGCTTCAAGGCATAGCGTGTGTCACCAAACCACTGAATGATCTCAGGCCGAGGTAAACCAGTGATCTGTTCTAATTTATGGTAATCCTCACGCCGTGCCCATTGGCACTGTAAAAAAAAGGATTTGAGGATAGCCAGCTGCTCTTTGGTTTTGCGCTTGGTCTTTCGCTGGCGTTGCGTATCTGAGGAAAGGTACTCCATGGGGCCAACCCTGCCTGATGCTGAGTTATGCCGTAGCCCATGGGGCCTGGCTGGCTCCACATGTGTGGGTAGTGCCTGTTCACTGGGTGACAGTGACTGTGGGTTATGGCCCAGTGGCTGGGGGTGTTTAGAGGTGGCAGTAGCTCCATTAGCCAGTACCTGGGAAGAGGAAGAAGAGGTAGAGGAAGACGAAGGAGTCATACTAGATGCTGACTCCTCCTTACAACTACTGGCTAGTAATGAGACTGGTGGGGGCTTATCCCGAGCACGTGGCTGGTGGACAGCTGCAGAATGGTTCCAGGAAGCTGTGCCTATGTCATGTGACTGGTTGAGACCACTTCCTGCCTGCTCCTTAGGGAGGCTACTGCTTTGAAGATCTTGCCAAAAATCTGATTGGTGGGAGAATGCTCCACTGCGAGGTGTCATCAGGGGCTCTTTTGCTTTCTGGTGACTTGGTGGCAGTGGTGGTAACTGAGAGGACTCCTCAGGTTCTACCTTCAATCCTTTCATCTGAGTGGGCTCGTTAGGAGACAGAGGACCTATTCCAAGACCAACTTGTTCTGGAGGTGGCATTGGAGAAGGAGGCACCTCCTCTGGGGGCCGCCCTGCATGATGAGTAAAAGAGAGAAGGGATTTGAAATGGAGTTGGTCCCGATGGTAGACCACTCGGGCTCGAGTCTCTTCTATTTCTTCAGATGACCAGCTAATGCCACAGCGGAGGCGCTGGGCCATGAACCAAGTCTTTACTTTCTCCATCTGCAGCCCATAACGGAGGCAGAGAAGGGCAATGTCTGCTAGGCTGGGATAGGGAAAGTAGCTGAAGGTTTGTAGCAGGTGCTCATTGCCATCTAGCTCACTGGTCTGGGCTGCTTGGGTCCACACAAGCTGTAGCTCCTCAGAGATTGGAGGGAGGCAGATGAGCCCCGCTGGTGAGCTATTAAGACTGCTGGCCTCTTTATTAGGAGGCATGGTGCTTTCTGATTTGTGCCCTTCAGAAACAGCTGTAATAAGAAAAGAAACAGTTCAATCACTGGAGCTCCTTTTGTGGAACATTGCTCAATTTCTATCAAACTGTTGGACAATAAAACAACTTTCTATTTGTATCTTGTATTGCTTTCAAAGTGCTTCAACAGTTTCTCATTTAATTTTCATAACTTTATGAAGTCATCAGAGCCTATAATTTCTGAAAAGAATAAAGTCCACAGAAATTAAATTGCATCAAATTATATGACTAGTGAACGTTGTCACTAGGACAAAAATCTGTCTTTGGAGATAAAGAAGGAAGGCTTGGGCTGCTCATTAGCTCAGTTGGTTAAAGCACCACCAAAGTCAAGGGTTTGGATCCCCTTATCGACCAGCTGTCCCCCCTCTCCAAAAAAAAAAAAAAAAACAGTAGGAAAACTCTTCCTTATATAGCCTTTGTCTTTCCAATTCAAGCTTGCTTTTGGAAGCTATCCCCCAACTCTCTCTCTCTAAGCTTATTAAAGAGTCACAAAATGAAGACTCAACCACAAAAACAAGAGGAGCAGTTATCTCAGAACTGTTACTGTTTAGCTCCTAACAATTTATATTTCGTCTAGAATATGGAGATAGGTTGGAAATACAACTGATGAATGTGGAAGGTAGGACACCACTGTCCTCTGCCCAGCCTTCTTTTTTTCTTTCCCTTCTTGGTGGCAGAGTGTTGGGGGGAGGTAAATGACAGTATCTTCAAGCCCTAAGCCCAAACCTGATATCTTTATTTTTTCCATCTCTCGGTAGGTTGAGAGATATAGGTCAGTGATCTGGGATAAATGAGGCTCTCTCCCCCTGGGTTTGGATCATGTGAAAGTGGAGAGAGGAACCATTTCCTCCTCCAAGTCAGCCTTAGAACAAAGGTTATCCCCTCCCCCAGCCTTTGTCTCTCTTCCAACAGCTCAGCCTCTCTCCAGGGAGCCCAGAGAGCTCCCTCAGACATTAATAGCCCCCTCCACACAGTGGAAGGCCTCCTGCTCTTATCTTTTCAGTCCAGCTTTCTCCTCAAGACCAGGTGAACTGGCTCATTATAAATGGTAACCAGCTCCGGCAAGCTACCCAGCAGCACCACTGGTCCTGGGGTTAGAAGTGTGGGGGGCCTGTAGAGATAGCCCCTGACTGTGCTTCATTCCTCAAATACCTGCTCAATTCATTTCCCAGAATATTCTGTTGACAATTTTAACTCAGCTCCCTGTGTGGACATTAGAGACCCTTTAACACATCTGTCACCCTTGACTCTTATGGGAATCGCATCTGTGTTAATAAATATTCTGATCTGTTAAGGATAGGACAGGATTCCTATGAAAATGCTATATGATAAATTAAGGAAATAAATCTCAGGGCCAGCCCGTGGCTCACTCGGGAGAGTGCGGTGCTGATAACACCAAGGCCACGGGTTTGGATCCTACATAGGGATGGCCGGTTGGCTCACTGGCTGAGCATGGTGCCAACAACACCAAGCCAAAGGTTGAGATCCCCTTACCGGTCATCTTTTTAAAAGAAAAAAAAAAAAAGAAATCTCAAGTCCATTAAGTCAGAGCAATGTAATATCAGGGATTTTACATGATTTTAAAAATTCAGAAGCATTTTAATGCACGTCACCATTTCCTTTTAACAAGCAAATCTAACAAACTGAAGGCCATGCAGATGATCTTAAGAGCAATACAGCTTGAAGAGGCAGTATGGCATGGTGGGTAGAAATATGGATTAGTAAGGCCAACCTGGGAGTTCAAATCCCAGTTCTGCCACTTACCAGCTACGTGATCTTGGGCAAAAGTTACTGAACTTCTATAAGCCTCAGTTTCCTCATGTATAAAAAATGGAGACAGTGCTGAGTGTATGTACAGTTCATATTTTTACAAAGCACCTACTGTTATGTATGCATAGTTATGTTAGGCGTTATGCACAGGCAGGACATAAAGCAGCTATCAGAGATGGAAGTCTGTGGGTGAGGCAGATTTGAGATTAATTGCAGCTCTGCCACATTCTAGAATGTTGCTTGCTCTTGGGCAAGTTATTTAACCTCTCTAAGTGTTAGTTTCCCATCAAAAAAAAAGCACCTACCTGGCAAGAAAAAATGCACTTGACATTATGCCTGGAATAAAGTAAAGGCTCAATAAAAAGCAGTTTTGAAATCATTACTTCAGCTTCACTGGGTGATTCTGACTGATATAAGGTAATGCTCCTCCTAGACAATGTGGGAACTGGTGCAAAGACTGAATCACTTAAAATCACTGTTTTCAACCTGTTTTTGCAGAGCCCTAACTCTAGCTAGCAGTAGAGGAAACCAGGGTATCTATGATTTTATACTTTTTTATATTTTGGGGTTTGGATACAATTTCAGAACGGATTTTGCTGCTTTAACAAAGTACGAAAACCACTGCTTTAGGAGAATTGCATCCATAATTTGGATCCTTTTTGGTTGCCATGTGAATTGCCAATGTGGTAGCTCTACTTTCCCCTCCCATGTTCATCCCAGACACAGCTGAGTAGCCTGTGAAGCAGTGTTTGCATGGCCAGGTGCTAAACCACCATTTAGAAATTGTGGCCCACCAGGAACACCACCAAATCCAAGCTGGAGAATACTTTATTGATGGAAACACTTGACATCCACTTAACCTCATTTGTATCCTGTTCTGTAAAGACACAATAGCACTTTAGATATGAGGAAAATGTAGCATAAGGAATAAAGTAGTCCAGTGTAAGGATGAAGACTGCCAGATGGGAATGTGAGGCAGGCAAACATATGCCCACAAGGAAGGATTCTGCTTTCATTCATGTGGTTTGATATCCTTCAGATTCTCATAGCATCAGCACCACACTCTCCCAAGTGAGCCATGGGCCAGCCCTCAGATTCTCATAGCATCAGCTTGATAGTTCACTATAACATGCAGTAATGCAAATAACATATTTAGTGTACTATATACATCCTGTTTTCACTTACATAAATCACAGGTTATGGAAGTCTTCCTGAAACAAAACGGTGGCTTAAATCAAGACACAGCTATATAGCTGGTACATCCTGGAAGAATCTGGCTTTGAACTAAGAAGAAACTACAAACAGAGAGTGGCTCATGAGAATTATAACAATTAGGCCAGACCCTATAGAAATCAAAACCATAATGAAGACACTACAATGTCTTATGTTCTTATGTCAACATTTTGGAGTAAGTAGAAAAAGAAGGGAATCAAAGCTGGAGAAATAAGTACTCCTAGGGTGGAGGTGGTGGTGGTGGTATAAAGAATCTATTCTGAATAATCACTAAATGTGTATCCTTATTAAATATGCCAGATACGCCCTACTTCTACTCCCCCCCCCCCCTTACCTACTGTTAAAGTCACTAATAGCAAATATAGTCAGGGCTGGACAGTTAGCTCAGGCGGTTGGTTAAGTGTGGTGTTATAACACCAATGTCAATGGTTTGAATCCACAGATCGGCCAGCCACCAAAAAGAAAAAAAAAATAAGAAAATATAGTTGAGTATAACACCCTCCTATCCCCTTGGGCTTTCTGGATCTCTGGGCAGATGGCAGAGAAGAATGAACTACCTTAAACTTCAGTGTTCACCTAGTCCTAAGAAAAAGATTAGATCTTTGGGCTTGAAGCTGGGCTTATAATTAAAGTAGGAGACAGTTAAAGTGGGAGACTAGATTTGATCCTGTTGAATTTCCTAAATCTTTATTCAGAGATCTGAAGTACTGCCTGAAATGTGTTTTGGTGATACAGTTTTAAGGTCCTTAAGGACTTCTAGTGATATTCCACTTACATGCTTCTTAACTTTTTGGATCATAAACCTCTTTGAGAATCAGATAAAAATTACGGACCCTCAGAAAGTTATGACTACTACTTCTACCAAAATAAATATTCACACTTACACAGTGAACTCAGGGGGTTCAATGACTGCCAAGAAGCCAGGTTAAGAACCTCTGCCTTACGTTCTCCCAACTTAATAAAGGCAGTGGTGGTAGTCACTTAAGGATGAACACCTTGATGTGAATGAACAGAAAAAGTGGATGGAAGACTCAAAAGAATTTGAATAAGCCTAGAAGAGAAAGGGTATTCATATTAGGTGGAGAGTGTGGAAGGGGGAAGAGGTGCTCAACTGGGCCAGGAGCCTGGCTTAACTGACCTACTGGATTATATGACCAATACCCACAGTGCACTGGATACTAGAGGTTAGACTGCTCTCTAGTGTGCCAAGATCATCTGCTTTATTCAGTTGTTATGTGGGGGGGGGGGGCAGTTTTGTGTGATTCCAAAGCTGTTTATGTCCATAAATATGTTTATGTTTTTCTGCATCTGTATAATGTAATTAAACGTCACATAAACTTATGAAAAATTACTACATTAAAAATTGTGCCTATAAAAATTAACTCATGCTTTGGGAGACATAATACAAAGAAGAATATACATTTTAAAAATTGAGTTGGGAGTTGGCAAAGCAACTGTAAAAGATTGGGGGTGGAACTAAAAATCTCAAAAAAAAAACCTGTACTCAGATTGCTTCTAAGTGTCTAAATTCTCACTTTAAAGAAATCAAAACTAGAAATCATCGATGATGAAAGTGTTTGAGTGGCTTTCATCCAGAATGCACACTAGAATTACCTGGGAAACTTAAAAACCAGGCCACCTTCCTCGCCATTTTGATTTAATTAGTCTGGACTGGGGCCCAGGCATCCCTAGTTTTAAAAAGTTCTCAGGCCGGCCTGTGGCTCACTCGGTAGAGTGCGGTGCTAATAACACCAAGGCCACGGGTTCGGATCCTATATAGGGATGGCCGGTTTGCTCACTGGCTGAGTGTGGTGCAGACAACACCAAGCCAAGGGTTAAGATCCTCTTACCGGTCATCTTTTAAAAAAATAAAAAATAAAAAGTTCTCAAGGTGCAGCCACTTTTGAGACTCCCTCGTGTAGTTAATTCCAGAAAGACAATTGGGAACTCCACAATCAACAGATTTACACACAAAAAGTCTCAGCACTACACCAAAAGACTGGTGAAATTAATGTACTTTTAATTATCATGTTTAAGATATATACGCATTATTTTTAAAATTCTCAACTTTGGCATTTTCAATTAGTGCCGTCTACCTGTCCTAATCATAATTTAAAAGGGCTCCTAATACAGGGTGAGAAGGAAGTTCACATGATAAAAAAAGATCTGATCTCGGCCCACATTACCGGACAGGTCTCAGCTTGAGTCTTCTTTCAGTTTAGAAGTCTTAGATTAGGACGCAACACCAGGAACCTCTGAGGACTCAGGTTCTCAGTTTCCTGGTTGGTTTTCTGAGTATGGCTGGGTATGGGAGTCAGAAGGGTCGGTTTCTTTTAAAACTTTCGTTCCCAAAGGCCACCGCTTCAGAAGTAAGGCCAGGTTCTGTACGTGTGTTGAGGTCGTCGGGAGGTAGTCATGGGGATGGGGGAAGGCCTGGGTAGGAAATGTTTCTCCTATCCCCCAGTTTCACAGGCAGTCTAGAAGACTCCGAACTGGGTCAGAGAACAAAAAGTTGCTGCACTTAGGGGGATGAACCCCAGGAGGCAGGCGAATCTCAATCCTCCCCTCGCCAAGGGTGTCCCAACCCAGCCTTCCTCTCCTCCCTACACAGCCACTCACCCTCCCCCATTTACAACAGGGAACCGAAAAGTCCGGAGGAGAAAGGAGAGGGAACCGGGACACTTCGAACCTAGAATTCTCCTCCCCCCAGCGCGGGGATGGGGCTCCAGAGGTCGGAGATCGTCCACAGGCTGGGAAGGGAAGTCCAGGGGGCTGGGGATCACTCACCGCAGTCCGGCCCGGGCGGCGGCTCCCAGCCTCGCACCATGGGCCGGGGGGCAAGGGGGAGAGAGGGCAGGGGGCCTCCGGGTGGGAGTGGGGTTGCTGCCGGTGCGGCCTGTTCCGAGCCCACCCGCGCGGGGGGCCGGGACCAGCACTGCTCCCCCCGCCCCAGAGAGCGCGCCGGGCTAGCGCAGCCCTGCCCCAGCGAGTTGGAGGCGGGGCGGTGCCCAGGGGCCGTGCCAAGGTGGCCCGAGTCCTGATTGGTGGACGCAGGCAGGCGGGCACCGGCGGAACGCACGGGGCCAGCCATTGGCTGCGTGAGTCTGGCTGAAGTCGGCTATTGGCTGCGTGGGCCTCAGACGGGGTCAGCTATTGGCTGCGTGGGACCGAGAAGATGTCCCCCGAGGCCAGGGTGCCGTGAATGGTACCTTCCCCCTCTCGAACTATCGGCGCCCGGCCTCTGGAGCACACGGGGTCCCGAAATTCCCCAGGAAGAGACAGAGCACTTTGCTGAAGCGTCTGGACCGCCAGTAACTCTCCATCTCTTTCCTCCTGAGGGAAACCCACCAGGAAGACCTTATCAGCCTCCCCTCCCCAGCCTTACACACGAGCCGCGCCTTCCCCCGCCGACAGCCCAACCGCCGCCCGCAGCGTCAGCTGTAACGAAGCGCCTAAGGCAACCGGGAACTTGCTATCGAGATGCAGAGCTCGAGAACTTGCCACCCGGTCGACGGGATCGTAGGAGCCTCTTCGCGGGTCAAATTGGCACCAGACAGGTGTTCCCAAAGACTAAGTGCTGAAGCGTTCACCTTGTTGGGACCTGCCAGACCCTTAGGCTCCCCTCCCTGCCCTAGTAAAGAGGATCTGGAGCTCTGCGTCGTATTTGGGGACCTTGGTTTTCGCTGTCAAGAAAGGGATGACAATAAAATGGGGCTTCCCACCAAAGCAGTATCCCACACAGTACGAAGGTCTGGGCCAAAATGTGTATACTTAGGATTTCCCATCTTCTGACTAAAACTTGGGAACAATACTTTCTAAAGTGACTCTTCTCGTGTTGGTCTTTGAAAAAGTCTCTTCTTGCCTAATAATATTAATTAATATTAATATTAATTAATAGCTTACATAGCTACTATAATTTATAAAACAGTTTCAGACTTTGCCCTGTCTTGTACCTCATGGCTCCCCTCTCCTTATATAGTCCAGGAAACCAACCACCATAACTCCACTTTTCATTCTTTATTGCTCCACTCTAAGGTCTAGAGATCTTTCAGGGTTTCCAGACATCATAAATATCCCTACTTTAGGCTGGCCAGTTAGCTCAGTTGGTTAGAGTGCAGCCTTATAACACCAAAGTCACGGCTTTAGATCCCCATACTAACCAGTCGCAAAAAAAAAAAAAAAAAGTCTTTTCTTCAGGGCTGAGTCCTACTTTCTGTCGCTGGCTGTGTATTTGCCACTGCCACGCCTCCCCCATTACATTTAGTAACAATCTCAACTCCTAAGAGCCAGTCCCACAACCTTCAAACTAATATCTGGCGAAAACCTCACAGAGGTATACAAAAAAAGACATATATACTTATCTTTAAGGTTACAAATTTCTGATCCCACAAGGTTTGAGCACAAACCTTCTCTAAATCATGACTATTATTACAATGCCTCATTGGTTTGTATGTAATGGAGGAGGGGAAAGGTGAAATATTTTAGACAGCAGCAGCCCTCAGTTACCAGAACAGAAATCATTCCCTCATAATCCAAACAGCTAATGAGACTGGATTGACTTGGAAGAATTGATGCTTGTTTGGCTGGAAAACCAGGCAGGAACTGTTAATGAGAAGTAAGCATTTGACTATGGAGCGTTTAGTGAGTCATTCTGGGCATCACTGATCATGGGCTTGGAATTATAAAAGGTGAACCACTCAGTCACATTTCTTGTCTCAGAAAGACTCTCCTAAGGGTCAGGAGTAGGGGGTAGACTCAAAGACAGATTTAAGAGAGGGGGGAAATCCAAGGAAGGGAGAGGAAACTTCCCTGTCCCAATTCCAGAGTGCAAATGAAGCCTCCTCCACCTATACGGTTTCACCCCATATTATGTCTTTAGACGATGGAGTGGACTTGGGTGGGGAAGTGGAGGAGAGGAAGAGCTCCAGGCTGACAATAGAAAGGAGTGCCCCACCTTTAGCAGGACAATAACCTTCCCAGCTTTTCCAGGGACTAGTGCTGAAAAATGGGGACTAATGTCATCCTCAACGTAGAGATGTTAATGCTCTATCTTTGGTGAGAATGTTCGCTCCCTTTGCGTGGCTCAGATAGTCACAGGACTACTACAGGTACATTTACCCTACAGCTAAAGAATCTGAAGTTTCAGGGCCCTCGCTTGCACAGAAGTCTTGCAAGGCCCTGGAGAAGCCCCAGCAACATTTTAACGTGGTCGCAGATTTTTGTAAAACTTTGGGAAAAAATATTTAAACTGTAATTGATTAAGATTGATGTCTGTTTCCTTTCTGACCTCCCCTCCATCACGTTTTCCCTTTTGTCACGTGGCAATAGAGAGACCATGAACACTTTGGAATTGGCTGAAGAAGTTGAGTTGGGGATACATTTAGCTTGGGTTTAGTAAGTGTACTTATGTAATTTGCAGTTACATCTGTAATTATATTATCCCCATGTAGATATTAATGTAGTGTTACGGACTAAACTGTGTCCCACCAAAATTCACGTTAAGTCCTCACCCCCCCAATACCTCAAAATGTAACTGTATTTGGAAATAATGTCTTTAAAGAGGAAATTAAGATAAAATGAGGTCTTTAGGGTGGATTCTAATACAATATGACTGGACACAGACATGCGTACACACAGAGGAAAGACCAGGTAAAGACATATGAAGAGGGCTATGTACAAGCCAAGGACAGAAGCCGCAGAATGGAATCAATTCTGCTGACACCTTGATCTTGGACTTCTAGCCTACAGAACTGGGAAAATAAATGTATGTTCTTTAAGCCACCCAGTCTGTGCTATTTTAAGGCAGTCCTAGCAAACTAATATACAGTACGTAACTTCAGGAAATATCCCTAACATCGTCAGTTCAAATGGTATATGACATTAATCATTGTAAATTTGAAACACCCCAAAATCTTCTACTACATATATGAAAGAAATTTGAGAGGTTTTTCCAAGTTTGACAAAAATCTTAAAAATGTATGTGATATCACCACTTACTAGGTGTGAAGGTGAAATTTTTCTAAATTATAGAGAATAAAAACTGGTCAATCATGCTAGATCATCTTTCTTACTCTTTACAGAAAATATTATGTAATCATGATGTGAAAAGGCTATCAAAGAACATGCAGCCAAAAATACTGTAGGAAAAAAACATAGTTTGTCAGGAATTTTTCATCAGCTTTTTAAAAACTGTAATTTGTTGGTATCTTTTCTCATTCTAAAAAATATTCACTTTTGTCTCTGCTCTGCCATTTCATAATGTGATACCCTGCCATCATTGTCACAACCACCAAAGCCTTCACCAAATGTGTTCCCTGGACTTTGGAATTCCCAGTCTCTGAAACTGCTTCGAAGGCATCTCTTGGCTGCCTCAAATTTCTCAGCCATGTTCACACAAGGGACCCGTTCTTGGGAGTGTTCTGGTGTAAATGTATTACACGACCCAGATAAGTGCTCATGTAAATGTGTCTCCCCACCCCCACCCCTTGACACCCCAGGTCATGCTTTACCCACATTAGGATGAGCTGCTAAACTCTCAGCCTGGCCTTCCTTCTGGCCTTCCTTCGGGAGCAGTTTCTCAGCGTTGCCTCCTCTTGCGCACCCCGGGGGCTCTGGCTCATGCCCGCGTTTGCTACCCTCCCCCCTCCCCGCACGAAGTACTGAATTTTCCTACAGCTGAGCAATTTCTTAGGTCTTTAACTGCTAATCTGAGTTTAACCTTTAGTGTCTGGAGAGGCGTCTGGGCTGCTCCCAACCTTCAGTAACAAAAAAATAAACAAACATACACAACAAAAGCAAAAAATATAAATAATAAATAAAAATAAAAAATATTCACTTTTGCCTAATTTTGTAATTTTGTGTTTTTTGGCAGCTGGCTGGTGAGGGGAACCAAACCCTTAACCTTGATGTTACAAGGCCATGCTCTAACCAATTGACAGCCCTGTATTTGTAATTTTGTATTTTTCTTAAAAGGGGCTCCAAAAGTTGTATGCTTCAGGCACCCAAAAACCTGGATCTACTCCTAGGTCTAACCAAATGGATACGGTGAGTTTCTGCCCCATTGAGGGGAACGCTGTTCTAGCATTCTGTGCCCTGTCTCCTAAGAAATATCAGAGCTGGAGGGAGCTGGAGAGGTGACTAGTCAGAACTGCAAGTATCAAGGATTTGGGATAGTAAAAGTATTGAAGGTATTTACAGAAGAAAGTTAAGACAAAACTAAGATGTGAAAAGTCTGGAAAGAGGCTAGGGCCACAGAGACCTCAAGCAATAAGCCATGAGGAGAACTCCTGGAAAGCCCCCACTTACCTCTCTTTGAGGGTCTGCTCCTCATGCTGATTCTACCCTTCAGTATATCTGGCTTCACTTACAACACATACCGAAGAGTGGGTGCTCTGTAGTG